CACCCCTGCCGTCCAGATGCAATGAAACCATGAGAGACATTAGGAGAGTCTTCCCAAGCTGAGTGTGCCGCCCCCCCCCCCCCCCCCAGGGGCCTGTGAAAATGTCAGTATGACACTGGCTGGGGAAGGGGGGGGGCGGTCATTGCCAGCCCCCCCCCCACCAGCATTCACATGCCAGCAAAACATTTCCAGACTGCAGTCCTGGCCTGAGCGATGGGAACCAGGGGAGACAGGGAACCTGCGGGGGCCGGAGATGGGGTCAGGGGTCAGAGTGGGCGGGACCGGACACGGTGGCGACCCCATCCCAGCAGGGCTCCCCTGGCTGGGCACCGAGGCCGCACCTTAAAGCCATTACCAGAGGTCTTGTGTAATTCCCAGTAATTCCCAGTAATGGTAACAGTTGCTCCACACGGCCGGAAAGCTGCTCTGGGCCTGACGGTTTCCAGGGCAACCGGCAGGTTTACCGTTAGCTGCTTAGCAGGAGTCAGAGAGGGTGTGATGCTACGTTGAAGAGGTTATGGACGCATGGGCCATTAACCGTAAGGCCACCTGCTGGACAGTCCAGGGCAGGGCAGGACTGCTGTCTGACAGTCACCTACACATCCACACAAATCACAAAAGGGTGTCCGCAGTCGCTGGTGCTTCCCGCCTTTCCCCATCCCCTGGTGCCCCCCTCCACGCTGCGGCTGGGGTAAAAAGCGAACAGACCCGAGGGTCAAAGGTCATGAGGTGCTCACCATTCCTGCGCTGATCGAGGGGGGGCAGACTGCAGTTGGGCTGCAGGGACAGCTCCTCCAGGTGATGGGTCATGGCTTCATACCGTGGGCTAGGCTCTACCAGCATGCTCTGGGGCTCCATGTCTCCTGGAGTGGCAGAGAGAGCCGATTGGTGTGGAGGATCCTGGGGGCGGGGCTATGTATCTGTCAGGCTTTCGCTGGGTTTTCATTCTTGCTAATTATAATTCCAGAGAAATAACAACTAGCTTGGGAAAAGTGCTTCTTTTAATCATGGAAACAGAAACTGAGATGCAGTTTATGGGACGGGGGCGACGCTGGCTTGGGAACCACTTCCCAAATATCAATAGCTCTCCTGGGAGCGTCGTCCAGATTCAGCATGAGTGTGACCCTCAACAAAAGCGGACAAACATCCCATATTGCACCACACACTAAACACTCATATAGCTTGCTGGGAAAGATAACGTTTTACTAATTTACTAAAATAACTAAACATTCTCAAGATGTGCGAGGCGTCAGCCAAACTCCACAAGAAACATTTCAACTGCTGCCTACAGTCTAGGCTACAAAATGCAAACTCCGTTGAGCTTGAGGCCCATCTCACCTTTGCCGGCTCCTTCCGTTTCCACCTTCACGGCTCCATGCTCTCCTAGAGAAGGGAACAGATACATTAAGGACAGTCCTGGGGGGAGCCGAGCACAGACTCTGGCCGTCGTAGGCCCGAAGCCTGGGGCTGTATTACAGAGGCGAGCCTGAAGAGGGGCCTCATTTTGAGGCAGCGGCCACCACCTTCATCCCGCCCAAATGGCTGGGGTTACTTAGGACAAACAGAATACCTTGTCTCAAAAAGTCAGTGTGACATCATTTAACTAAAAAATAAGACAATCCCCTCAAGCATATTTTAAAGTGGTTCGGTTTTTCCCGTTCATTTTAGTAAACAAGAATTTGGCGAACAGAGGAGTTTTGGAAGCGCTCCTGATGCAGCCGGAATGTGGCATGATCTGGGTGCAGAATTAGGGTTAATAAGCACAAGGTCCGCATGCGGACTTAATGACCGCAGCTGCAAATTCCAGAATTCGAATGAACTAGGTGCGAAACAATCATTTAGCAAGAGAGAGAAAAAGTCACGTCTTTAAATGATTCCCATGTTTTTTGGCTCATTAGAGGTTGCTATAATGCTAAATCACAAAAAAGTAATTTATAAACACACACACACATCATTTTTTAGTCTGATACTTGAAATGGCCAGGAAATAGACACATTTTGGTATGATTTAAAGTTATTTAATTGTGATATATTTTTTTAACGATTTATGCCAAACTACATCATTGACACTGTTATCAATCTGAAGCAAAAAGGGGGGGGGGGGGGTTGGTCTATGGTCCAGCTGGCTGAATCTCACGACGTCTCCGTCGTCGTCACGTCGTCCTGACCTGACATGAGGTTCTCGAGCAGATGACACATGGAGGAGACACTGCCCAGTGAGGTAATGTGACCTGCGAGTGCCTATGCATCACCTGAAGAACATGCCACCAATGTCACATGTCAGCATAGCTCCCGACCGTCACGGGGAGGGGCCCGGGGCAGGTTTCAGTCAGACGTGCCGCACAGCGACACGCAAGGCGCTTTCCGGCACAATGGGGCCCCTGAGGTTAGAGCTTCTGTGAACCAAACCCTCAATTGTCTGTCTGTGTTCCTGATAAGCTAGGTGGAGAACCACAGCAAACCCGTACCTGTACTGATCCTAACTGGGTACTGAACCTAACCAGGTACTGACCCTAACTGGGCACTGACCCTAACCAGGTACTGACCCTAACTCGGCACTGACCCTAACCCCTACCTGTACTGATCCTAACCAGGTACTGACCCTAACTGGGTACTGACCCTAACCAGGTACTGACCCTAACTGGGCACTGACCCTAACCCCTACCTGTACTGATCCTAACCAGGTACTGACCCTAACCCCGACCTATACTAACCATTACCTAGTACTAAACCTAACCCCCACCTGTACTAATCATAAACTGGTATTAACACAATCCATCCATCTATCCATCCATCCATCCATCCATCATCCACCTGAAGGTGTGAGACCCCTCCACCCACACAAAAAACATGCTGCCCCCCCACAAACGCTGCCCCTCCCAGACCTGACTATACCGGATTGCGGTGTGTGCCACAGATATCCTGTCTGGTGCCGTCATGGGTCAAAGGTCAGTGCCAGTGACGCAGGCGGGCTGCGGGAACAGGCCGGCGGGAACAGGAAAGGGAGCGGTCAGGAGAGGAAGCCGGGAGACGCGTCAGCAGGGATACATGCAGATCCCTGACTGCCAGCGTATGTCCGAACAGCCGGGTCTCTCCCTCCCCGAAACGCGACCCGTGGTCAGCGGCGGCTTCCAGGCAGCCTGCACACGGGAAGCAAACGCTCCTCCTCCATCTCCACGGCTTTTAACTCCCGGCATGGGGCGGGTCTTCATTGTTCTGCTAGTGTTTTTAATCAGTTTGCGTTTTTCTCTTTTATGTGGCCGACTCTCCCCACACCCAACAGGGCCCCATCAAGGGGGGGTAAAGATAGGACAGGGGGCCTAAAAATTTGGAACATAATCAGCCTAGTCTGGGTT